AAGCAAATCCTCCTCTTATTCTTGCATCTTGTAGCAATTTAAGTTTTATTCTCGCTTTCTTCCCCTGCCAAATGTATTTTAGCACTATTTTGTTTAAATCTTCAAAAAATTCTTTCCCTAATCTGATTGGAATTGTCTGGAATAAGTATAAGATTCTAGGCAATACATTCATCTTATAATTGTAGATATTCTCCCAATCAGTGATTATTGTAAATTTTCCCATTTTATCAAGTCTGTCGCAATCTGTTGTTTAAGTTTAAGATAATTATCCTCCTTAAGTGTGCTACATCTTGGTGTTAAGAATATCCCTAAATACTTAATCTTATTTGTGACCTGGATCCCCAAAACTTCCTCCAATTCTTTCTTTTGTCTTACTAACATGTTCTTTGCTAAAATCTTTGTTTTATCTTTATTTATTTTAAAACCTGCTACTTTCCCATACTCTTCTATCTTTTCTATCAGTTTAGGTGCTGACTCCAATGGATCCTCTAATATAAATATCAGGTCATCTGCAAAAGCTTGTAATTTATACTCTTCTTTTTAAATTTTCATTCCTTTTATTTCTTTTTCTTCTCTGATGTTCCTATTCAGCACTTCTAGTGTTAACACAAACAACAGAGGCGACAGTGGACAGCCTTGTCTAGTTCCTTTTCTTATATCTATAAAGTCTGTTAACTCTCCATTTAGCATAATTTTTGCAGTTTGTTTATGATGTATCATTTCTATGGCTTGAGTAAATTTTTTACCAAAGCCCATTTGGTCCAATTGTAACAGCATAAAACGCCAATTCACATTATCAAAGGCTTTTTGTGCATCTAAAAACATCAGAGCCATTTGCTTTTCGGGATGTGCCTCATAGTATTCCAGTGTATCTAAAACTATTCTCATATTATCTTTAATCTGTCTCTTTGGCAGAAATCTGTTTTGATCAGAGTGAATAAAATTGTTTAAGTATCTTTTCAGTCTTTCTGCCAGAATTGAAGCAAAAATTTTATAGTCTGAATTGAATAGTGATATTGGTCTGTAGTTTTTCACCTGCTGTGGGTCTGTGTCCTCCTTCGGTACAAGTGTGATATATGCTTCTGACCATGTTTTGGGTATTCTCTTCTTTGTCATAGCTTCATTCATAACTTCTAATAAGTGAAGATTCAATGTTTCCTTTTTAATGTTTTGCTTTTTTAAAAGTTTTGCTTTTTAAAAGCTTCTGTTAATTCCATCATTGTTATGTTACTTTCTAACATTATTTCAATATTTTTGGGTATCTGAGGCAAATTTGCTTCCTGTAAGTATTGTTGAATTCTTTCTTCCTGAAAATTCTCTTGATGGTACAGTTTTCCATAATTTTTCTTCTTCTCCGCATTTCCATAGCATACATGTCCTTGTTCATTTATCAGTTGATTTATCCTTCTCGAGTCTCTTTCCTTTCTCAATTTATGTGCTAACCATCTGCCTGGTTTGTTTGCATCTTCAAAATAGTTCTGCTTAGCATTTTTAATTTGTGTGCTATTTCTTCTTTTTCCATTAGCCCCATTTTATTTTTAGTTATGTCCATTTTAATTTTAATGTCCTTTTTTGTGGAAATTTCTGTAGTTCTTTTTTCAACTTCTTGTAGTCATCTTCCAATATTTTAAAAGTTTTTTTCTGTTTTATATTTCTTTTCCTTGTATAGTCCATTATCAAGCCTCTTGTATAAGCTTTCATTGTGTCCCAAAGGTTTTGTAATGATGTATCATCTTTTACATTTTCTTTAAAGAAAAAAGTCAATTCTCTCTCAATTTTCTGTTTAAAGTCTTTTTCCTTTAATATCGTATTATTTAAAGTCCATCTAGATCTCCTTTTTTGTCCTTCCGTACAAGTGTCATTGGATTGTGATCTGCCCAGGTACTTGCTTCTATTTCAATGTCTTGTATGTTAGAAAGCAATTCTGTTGACATCCATATCATATCTATTCTAGACCATGATGCATGTCTATTTGAATAAAAGGTATATTGTTTATTTTCCGCATTTCTCTCTCTCCATGCATCTTTTAAGTTTATCTCATCTACCATTTGAAAGAATGATTTTGGCAATGTCTTTCTAGCTTTCTTTGCTGTTTTTTGTGTTTTATAGTCCAATTTGTCATGTTTATTATTCCATTAAAATCTCCCATCAGACAGATATTAGCATAGTCCAGTTCAATTATTTTCTTGTGTAATTTCCTGTAAAAATCTTGGTTATCATTTGGAGCATAACTTGCTATTAAAAGTATCTTTAGATTATTGTCCATTAACTCCACCATCAAAATCCTTCCGTCATCATCTGTATATATTTGTTCCGCAGGGATTGTATCTCTAATGTATAACACCACTCCTCTTTTTACACTGTGTCAACACTGTAAATAATTTCCCTATTTTTTGTTGTTTCAATATATAATCATGTTGTTTTTTGATATGTACTTCTTGTAGACAGATTATATCAAATTTTAATTTCTCTAACTTATGAAATATTTTTCTTCTCTTAGTAGATGAATTAAGTCCATTTATATTAATTGTAATCAGTTTTCTCTCATCCATTTTAGACTTTATAAGATGGATTTGTTGCTCTAGTAGATCTTGGTTCTCGTTGCTCTCTGGGTACACCACCTACGGCTCCTCCTTCTTTTTCAATTACTGCTATACATTCCTCTTGAAATTCAATTAACGACTCTTCTTTTCTTGTATCTTCCTCCCTTCCTCTGAAATATTCCAGATAGAATAACTCAGCGTTTTCAACTGTATCAATTCTGTGTCTTTGTTCCTGCCAGGTAAACATGAGACCTTCTGGTATCAGCCATCTGTAATTTATTCCTCTCTTAAGTAACTCTTTGGTCAAGAATAAATATTCTCTTCTTATCTCTCTCACTCTTCTCGGTACCTGTTTCAGTACCACTATTTCTTTATCTTTGTACTTTAGTGTTTTTTCTCTTGCCGCCTGCAGTATTTGTGATTTAATTCTTTTCTTAGTAAATCTGATATGAACTTCTCTTGGCAGTTTATTTCTCATTGCATATCTTGTATAGACATGAAAAACCTCATCCATTCCATCCATCATCTTCTCTTTAGTTGCCTCTAATGCTTCTGCCAGGAATTCTGTCATCATTTCAGCAAGGTTTTCACCCTTTTCTTCGTCTATATTTTGAAATCTAAGATAGAATTCTGATCTATCAATTTCCCATCCCAATGACTGCAGAGATCTGCCCTTATCTCTTTCCACTTCACTCAATTGGGTATCCATATCTCCAATCTTCTTATCTCTTTGTACATCTTGTTCTTCAATTTTCTTGATTCTGTCCTTGTATTGCATCATCATCTGTTGAATATTTTCAATTTCCTCATCTGTCTTTTCAGTTCTTTGCTCAATATTCTCCTTTCTCTTTTCAATATTATCTGTTTTTACTTGTATCTTTTGAATTCCTTACATAATCATCTGCAGTGTCACTTCTTTCTCCTTCTCTTGTTGTAACATCACCTGTATTGATCGTTGTCCTCCAGATGGTGAGGAGAAAGAAGTCGGGATTGAAGAAGATGAGGCTGGTATCTTTCTGCTCATGTTATAATACTTAATAGGAAAATTGAGAAGAAAAAGCAAGAGCAGCCAACTGCCACTGCAATAAAAAATAAATAAAAGCAAAAAATAAAAATAAAAAAGAGAAGGGAAAATTTTTTCAGGCACTTGAATACCTTAATCCAATTGGTTGCAATTATGTAGAAAAAAGAAAAAAAATGGAAAATGGAAAAAGGATGAAAAAATAAAAAAAATAGGAAATTTTTTTAAAAAGACAGAAATCTGTATATTCCCCTTGCTAAAAAGGTAGAACAAAGGGAGGCGGGAGGGGGAAAAAGTAGTCTTATTCCTGCATCGAAGGACTCAAGTCCAAATATGAAAATCCAACTTGGGGGGAATAGAAAACAAAGGAAAGAGAAAGTGCTATTCTGTCAATAAGCAAAGCACTGCCACTAAATGTTCGAGGCTCTTTACTAAAACAAAAAACAAAATTTCCAGTTCTCTTTTCAAGGTCACTTCAATCTTCTTTCTTCAATTTCAAATCCAGACTCCAGCTATCAGTAGTTCCACAGAAGAGCACCTGCAAACAATCTACATGCTCTTCCCACTATCTTTTCAATGAAAAGCACAGAGTCCTTGAATGTAACAGCAAATGTATCAATAAGAAAGAAAGGAAAACAATGTATCCAAGCCTCCAGGTAGCAGCGCTACTATTGCCCTTTTCTTTCCCTTCCCCTCTAATATTAAAAATCAGGAATAAAAAAATAAAAAGAGTCTAAAATTATTAAAGAAAAGAAACAAGAGAAAAAAAACTTTTCCAAAAAGTTATTTTGAAAGGAAAAAATTAAAATTAAAAAGGAAAGACCAGTCCAGTTTAAAAATTGAAAAGTTTTTACAAAAATCCAAAGTTCCAATAAAAAGAAAAAAAAACCTTCAGGTTTAATTTGTGCTTAATCTCACAGCTTAAGCACTTTTATCTTCACTTTTAAATTTAATTTTTAACCTTTTAGGGTGTTCTCCCCAGAAAAAAATAAGTAGAAAATTATCTCATCAAACTGACACACTTTCTTTCCAGCTTTCTTCCATTCCGGAGCTGTCCCAGCTTCAGCAGCTTTAACGGCTGCCTCTCCGCCGCGGGAAAAAAGGGCTTCTCCTGGATCTACCAGGGACTTTGCGATGTCCCTGGGATCAACAGGATGTGCCCTCCTCAGTCACCGTCTCTACGGGATTGTTTAGGTCCGTTGGGACTGTCCTGCTATGGAGATATCAGCAGCGATCTTAGAGCTTAAAGATCACATGCTGTACCACCGCAATGCCAGCTCCGCCCTCCATCACTGCTGTAATTGAGTTCATCCACCTTCTTGCTGTTCTTCTTTTCTCCTGCATTGTAAAGAGCTCCATTGTGAAGAAACCCAATGGATTAAATATGTTGAGCTGTGAGCTAAATCAACTGGCATTAAATAATTAAAAGACATAAGTAAGTAAATAAGTAGTTTAATAGAGGTAATACCATCCTGTCTTTTCAAAAATGCACTTATAAACAAGAATAAAATCATTCAAATACATCCAGGGTAATTCTAAGGTTTCAGAGACAAATACATAAGAAGGATTCTTGCGAATGTACTGTCATGAAGGTATGAGTTTTACACAATTCAGTTGGATGTAGAGGCCTTTTTTGCATAAACACAATGAGAAGGAAAGTCCCAGTAAGCCAATTGCAGATAAATCTCCCAAATGTATCAACTTTGGATGTCAACAATATCAACTAGAAATTTGGTTCAGTGTTTGTGAATTTACTTTATAATGTTTTCCAAAAATGATTTAAAAAATATCCATGGGAGAGAATAAATACATCAGCTGCAGTAACTATTGAATATTACTTTAAAATCAATTTCCATTTTGATCAATTTCAAAAATCAAGCAGGATAATAGATATTATCATTCTGAAATGCCTTGAAAGTTCTGTTAATACAAGTTATTTGCTTCTAATTCATTAATCAGCTATATGAATAATCAAGTTCAATATTTAACTGTACAATGAGAAATATTAGTAACATTGGACAATAGAAAATGCTGAATATTCTTAATAGGAAGTATTGCATATTCAACAGTCAATTTTTTTTAACAAAAAGTAAACATGGCATAACAGGGCAGACATCTGAATCCACATTTTGCTCATTTTTAGTACATTCCAAAATAGTATCTAGAGTTAATTATTTCCTTCGCTTTTTGTCTTCAATTCTCTTAAAACATGAGAGCAATCATGTAATAAAATATTTTGACAAAGTGATGATAAAGGCACACTTTTCTTTGGCTCAGTTCTGCTATGTAGAATAGCTAGGAGAGCCTTTATATCACATTCCCTATATTAATGTACAAAGTTAAGAGAGGAGCTGCGAAGAATCAAAATTCTGATGTCTAAAAACAACTGCAAGTTTTTCAGGAAATGCGATTTGCATGCAAATATTATTTCCAGGGATATCAGCAATCCAAAGAAAGATGTGCAATGTGCCTTTTATAGAAGCAGCTTTCTTCTCAGAGGGATCAAGTAGGATTTCCGGATTAACCTCTTTAAAAATAATTGTTTTAAATAAATCTCCTGACTAAAAGTCAATGCTCCTTAAACCTACAAAAGAATGGAAATATCAGAAAGTGAAAAACAAGAAATCTTATCTTAAGATCTTATGTATTTGAATTTATGTATTTATGTAAAGAAAGATATATAGATATTTAGGTTTTTCATACCAGGGCTTTAAAAGACTGGGTGACCACTGGATAGGAACAGATATACAGGTAGTTCTTGATTTACAACCATTCATTTAGTGACTGTTTGTTACTACAGAACTGAAAAAAGTGGCCATTTTTTTCCCACTTAAGACCCCATGGTCACATGACCAAAATTCAGATGCTTGGCAACTGGCATGTATTTATGACAGTTGCACTGTCCTGGGGTCATATGATCATTATTTGTAACCTCCCAATTTGGAATGGGTCAACTTGTCACAGCCAACTCTCTGCAGCCATCTCACCGTGGCCAACCCGACATGGCCATCTCACTGCAGGGCAACTTGCCATGGGACAATTCCACACAGGATAATTCAATGCAACAAATGTTATCTGCCACTGTTTCTTCAATATTATTTCCATTGACCAAAATCGAAATAATGTAAAGGAAGCAGTCGCAGAGAACATTTATTGTGATGATTATCCTGCATGGCTTGGTGAGTTGTCCTAGTCCTGTGATGGCGAACCTATGGCACACGTGCCACAGGTGGCATGCAGAGCCATTTGTGCCAGCAGGCAAGCCACAGGCAAACTTACCTCAATGCTCATGCACGCGCCTCACAGCTGATTTTTTAGCTGGTTTGAGGCCTTTTTTGGCTTCCCAGAGGCTTGAAAAAAGTCTCTGCAGAATGAATAATAGGCCCATTTTGTCACTTCCTGTAATACTGGAAGTGACTAAATGGGCCTCTTCAGCCTGCAGAGGCTTTTTTCAAGCCTCTGGAAGGCCACAAAGGCCTTAAACAAGCCAAAAATCAGCTGTGAGGTACAGTGCAGATGGGGGGGGGGGCAGAGCGGATTGTGTGCACATGCACAGGGGGCATGGGGGGCACACATTGCCTTCTGGGTGTTGGCATGTGAGCGCACGCATGCCAGCACGCATACAATTTTTGGCACAGGAGCCCCAAAAGGTTAGCCACCACTGTCCTAGCCCCTTCTCAGCTGGCTTCCAACAAAGTCAATGGAAGAAGCAGATTCAGTTAATGGCCACATGATTTAATTAATAACTGCAGTGATTTCCTTAACAGCGGTGGCAAAAAAGGTCATGAAATGGGGCAAAACTAATTGAATAATTGCTTTGCAGGAGAAATTTTGGGCTGAATTGGGCTGAAAAGTTGCAAACTGGTGTCTAGAGCTTTGTACCTTGTACTATATACAGTATGGCTACAATTGTCTTTTCTTAAGCAAAAGAGCACACAGAATAGAGAACACAACTCCAGAAATTTAAAACAAATATGGATATCTTTATAAAAATAGCATTACATGTAGAAAAGTTAAAATGATTTTAAAGAAATAGAAATGAAAGAAAAAAAATGAATTTATTTATAGGAAAACTGTAGCAAGTACTTTAAAAAAAAATACAGCATTTTTACACCTCTTTTTGTAAAAGAGGTGGGAAATTTGTAGCTGAATACAATTCTTAGCAGTGCACCCAGTATGGCCTCTGCTGAAGCTATGTCGCAAGCTGTTCTGATTGAGAAACAGAATTCCAAATAACAAAAAGGGGAAAAAGTGGTGAAAAGACACATAATTAGTGTTAAGACACAAAATTAATGTTAAAGAGGCCAGAATTTTTTTTTTAACCATGCAGAAACTTACAAAGTCTGGTCAAGACTACATTGAAGTTCCTTTCGTATAAGGCGGAGTAAAAACTGTAAAAATGTTTTAAAATAATTAAATGTAAAATATTATGAGCAACAAGAAGCAAACAACAAAAAAAGAATTAACGACATCAATTCTTCATCTAAATAGTGATTTGATGAATGTTAAGAGAACACCAATTTTTCATTTCAATCTTTAAAGAAAGGCATTTGACCACCTGGGTGTGTGTGTGTGAAATTAAAAGGAAGCATTCAGAAAACAAACCTTGGGAACTTAGCAAGATTTAATGCAAAATAATAGCAATGAAGAAATAGAAGGAAATAGCATATTACACTGTAATGTCAGCTTTCCATTTTAGTGTACGATTTCATATGACCTAACTGGCAAGATTTTATAAATCCTTAATTTAAATTTCAACACTGAATATATAAATGATTCCTGGTAACTCATTGATGTATGACATTTTAGGTTTATCTCCTTCTGACCAAAGTGGAGAAATTTAGAACAATCTTCAGAATTATTTCAATAAATCCAGTAAGAATAAAACTAGGGCCTAACAACGTAGCAGCGTAAAATCACTACCATGTGATTGTGAATGCAAATAGCTCTCCCTTGTGGAAATTTATTTCAGGCCATAAGGAAGAATTAGATTATCACAGTATTGTTTTAGTTGTTGTTGTTGGGCGTGCCTTCAAGCTAGTTTTTGCCTCCTAGAAATTGCCTGGATTAATCTCTGTGGTTTTCTTGGCAAGTTTTTCAAAAGCTGTTTGCCCTTGCCTGCTTTCTAGGGCTGGAGTAACTAACCAAAGGTCATTCAGCTGGTTTTGTGCCTAAGGAGGGCTAAAATTCATGGTCTCCTGGTTTCTAGACTATGCCTTAGCCACTACATCAAACTGGCTCTTATATTTTAGTACTGCAGAAATAATCTCTGTGATGCTATTTGAGGAACATATTTTTAAATATCCCTTTTTAATGATGTGTTCATTAATGTTACTGTTAGCTAACATACAAACTATGCTATGACATCTATTTGTGAAACTTATTTAAATAAATGTACTCTTATGTTTCCAGTAAAAATATTTTAACAAGCATATATTGTATAGAAACAGAAATACAATTAGCCCAGCATGTATCCAAATGCTCCTTCAGATAAAAGTGCCTACACTGCTTTTACAGAAGCATTAACAATTGATTATACCACATTTCAACAAATAAGGCAGCAGCACTACAGTACAGTATGACTTACCAGTAAGGCACAGGCATCTGCTATCATCAGCATGTAAAAGACATTGTTCCAACCAGATGAAGAAAGAAGACCGGCTAACAATGGTCCCAATGCTGCACCTAAAATACCATGCACATAAATTAAATACAGTGCAGGACCTGGGGCATATAATACTTCAGAATGAGCTTGAAAACTCACAGCTGGATGGATTTGCAAGCTGTTTTGAATGAAAGAAAATCCAGCCCATTTTTCTTCCTATCCTCACCCATTTCCACGTGCAAATCAGAAGCGGAATCACAGAGCTGATGGTAAGCTAGTCCTCTTGGGACATTCACTTCACTGGGTTGTAATTAGTGTTATGGGAGTGCTAGCAGAACATCATTTTCAAGATTCACAGCTTGGGATCTTGTCGAACTTACCAACTTTTTATTAAAATATTAATGTACTAACATATTTACAGCTACAGTTGGCGCAGTGGTTAGAATGCAGTACTGCAGGCTACTTCTGCTGACTGCCGGTTGCCTACAATTTGGCAGATTGAATCTCACCAGGCTCAAGGTTGACTCAGCCTTCCATCCTTACAAGTGGGTAAAATGAGGACCCAGATTGTTGGGGGCCATATGCTGACTCTGTAAAATCGCTTAGAGAGGGCTGTAAAAGCACTGTGAAGCAGTATATAAGTCTAAGTGCTATTGCTATTGCTATATTTGCATAAGAATTCCACCACTGCGCTGCATTGCACGTGTGTTTGTGTGTGTGTGTGTGTGTACCTTCAAGTCAGTCTTCATTCCTGGCAATTAAACATAGAAAAATTATCTTAGCAACATTTTAGGAAATGGTTTGCCACTACCTTCTTCCTAGGGTTGGGAGAGAGTGACTGACCCAAAGTCATTTGGCTGGTTTTGTATCTAAGTGGAACAAGAACTCACAGTCACCATTGAAAAAGGATGATGATTTATAACTGACACACACAGACACGGGGTGCATCCCTACTGCAACCTTTTTATAAAGTAATTCTCACACTGGTAGAACATTCTCAAAATCTGGAGAGGACCAGGCTGGGAAAGGCTGGTCAAGAGTTTCTTATCAAACTTTTCAACCTTTTGTTCTTGAGGATGATACCATACCACTCTTGATACCATACCATACCTATGGAGCCTGTTCCGTCAATGATGGCTGTAACAGTTGAGAGAGCTTTTGCATTTCCATGAAGACTTTTATGGGTACCCTTTAAAAACAAAATATTCAGATAGAAATAATTAAACACAGAGAAGAGAGACAGTGATAATCTTCATCTTACTTATATTGTAAATCTTTCTCAAATTATTTGATGTAACACTGAAAAAATGTAATAATATTGCTACTGAATATTACTAATACACAATATATTTTCCTCCTCCTCTAGAAATTTTGTTCTTAATTTTTATATGTATTTATTAAAAATAATACAACAAAAATACTGTAGCAGATAATAATATGCTGCTTATAGAACAGAAAAGGACTCACCAAGTCAGCAGAGACAGCTGTCGTGATCAATGCGTATGGACCATTCACAAGAGCTCCACAGATGAGCAACATAACTGAAATTTAAAAAGTAAAGTTGTATGTATTTAATATCATCAATAGTCAGCAGATGCAGAACCTCTTATTTAATTTTCATCCAACACTGGAAAACTCAGACTAGTTTGCTATTGAAAGGAATAAGCACTAGGAAAATATATGAGTAAATTCTGCTAAATTCCATTTCTAATTTATTTGGAACCTGTAAACTATGCAAGGTGTGCCTATTGAAGCACATAAAGGAAACACATGGTGCAATCTTTTTAAATATAACTTTCTAAAGGAAGTATCACTAAGGTCGATGATGCTCATGCCAATTATTGTAATGAAAAGAAAATTTTTATTGCAGTCGTTAAGCAGCAGAGCTATTTATAACACAGTACATAGTGACCTGTACTTCCACTTGGTTTATTTGTTAGGTTTTTATCCTCCCTTTATTACTTTATAAGTAACTCAAAGTGACAAACATATTTCTCCCTCCTCTTGTTTTCCCCACAACTGTAACAGTCCTGTGAAGCTAAGAGAGAGTGACTGGCTCAAAATCACCCAGCTCTCTTTCCTGCTTAAAAGAGGACTAAAATTCACTGCCTTGGTGTCTAACCTAGCCCCTTAGCTGCTGGATAATAATCAGTAGTTAATAAGCCATAGTCAATAACTATGGGCAATTAAACAACTGATAAATGTAAACATTGTAATGGTTTCCTGATACACTACTATCCACTAAAGCAGGGGTGTCAAACTCGATATCATTGAGGGCCGCATCAGGATTGTGTTTGACCTCAAGGAGCAGTGGTGGGATTCAATTTTTTTACTACCGGTTCTGTGGGCTTGGTGGGCGTGGCAGGGGAAAGATACTGTAAAAACTCCAGTCAGAGGTGGTATTTGCCGGTTCTCCAAACTACTCAAAATTTCCGCTACCGGTTCTCTAGAACTGGTCAGAACCTGCTGAAGATCACCTCTGCCAGGGAGCTATGGCGGGCATGGCCAGGGTGGGCATGGCCAGCTTGACATCACTTGTGTCAGGGGCGCCTGTGGTGGCCTGAGCACTCTGCAATGAAAACAGGCTCCCAAGTTCCATTTTTGGCTGCGATGGCTTCCTCAAACCTCTGCCAGCAAAAACAGAGCTCCATTTTCACTGGCAGAGGCCCCATGGTCCTTTGCTGTTTCCAGGGCAGCCTCACAGGCCAATTCCGGCCCCCAGGCCTTGAGTTTGATACCCCTGCACTAAAGCAACGACCATACTTGGAAAGAATCAGTATTGTTTCTTTCTTATTACCAAGCTAGAGAAATGGGAAATATTTTATTGAAGAAGAAAGCTATTTCTTTTCTTTTAACCATACATACGTTCCAAGCGTCTATTCCAGTATTCTTAGACAATAAGTTGAGCATTGGTGAAGGAAGAGGAGAAGAAGAGAGTAGGAAATGACAGTGATCTGGTGATGTTTTCAGCTGGGTTGGGCTACAATACTTGGGCTACAATACTTGATAAATGCTTGTGGGTAACACTCTGTTGGTTAGCAGACTTCATGAAAATAGGAGCTGTGAAAACTATTTTATTCTATCAGTTTATTTGATTTAATTGTCTTTCCTTAGTTGTTGCAAAGCATGATCTGATGAGAAAAAAAACAAGGTATGGCCCAGATCATTGCTGTTGCTGTGAGTATTACTGATCTGAAAAACAGAGATTCATGAATTATCCTACTCTTATGAGTGAATAAGGGAAACAGAAATGAAGTGAAAGAAACAACATAATTATGAATTACAGTTTTAAAGCTGTATTCATTAGATATAAAATGAACGTCTCAATTTCCGCCACAAAACTGCCAATAAGTTTTGCAGATACACAACTTGATGATTTCTTCCCTTGAGAAAGTCAGCAAAAAAAGAAAGATGTAGAGAGGGCTGATGACATAACTTGAAGTGATATCACTTAGAACATCAAGATTTAGTATCTCTAGTTTGAGAGAGCATTACATGGAATTATAGAATTTGCAAGAAAGTACATTATCATTGAATGTTAGACAATCCTTTTTATCAGTACCAGCAATACTAAAAATAGTGAGTTTTGGTAGAGTCTTCATCACTGAATGGGTTAGCCATTTGTCTGAGTTGCTTTACCTGGTTCCATGCACTGAGTTGGCAGCTGAACTCAATGGCTAAATGGACTTTCCCATCTATTATTAAGCATGTCATATCTCTTATTATTAATAATACTTATTCTTATTATCATTAATATTTCTCATTAATATTAATGATTAAAATAATTATTAGTTCTCCTTATTATATCATATCTCTTCTTCTCTAGGAAGAATCGCCTGTTACACAGACAACCTAGCCCAGTCTTATGCTTTCCAATTGTAATCCAGAAAACATCTAGAGGGCACCTTATTGAGGACATTTTCATTGAAACACATCATTTGAAAATTATTTGTTTTCTGAACCTCTCCTTCAAAATAATTTATTTGGTCTTAACAGAAATTATCTCAGTGTGACCCAGACTGTTAGTTTTAACCATAGAAATTCCAGTTAAGAATTGCAGTGGATTTATATTTAAACAACCCAAATGAAGCGGGTAGGGAGAAGGAAAAATAAAGCATAAAACTTACTTATTGTGGCCTCAAAACCCATTTTGCTGATTGCAGAAAATATATACAGCTAGGACAGACACAAGTAGCAGAGTTAGTTCAAATCATTCTGTAATAAATCAGGCTGTCTTGGCTAGATGTCATTTATAAAATTAGCATTATTTTTCATTCTAGAATTCTATTTTCATTTGTCATTATTCAAAATTGCAGAAATGGGTTCTAGGGAAAGAAAAATGCTTAAATGCCCACAATACTAGGGTACAAAAATGCAACTCTCTTTCATTAAGCCTGCTTTTGTTTATACATTATAGCTCAAAAAGCCATCAATACTTTCATCGTTGTCATCATCATCATCTTCATCATCTTCATCATCATCATCCACCATCTCATAACTTACAGTGGGTCCAGCTATCAACAGCATCATGCCACAAGTTGTAGCCCTTTTTTTGAGTCGGTCTGATATTACACCCGCTAAAATTCCACCTGTATAAAAAAAGAGAGATGCAAAATGTAGCAACATTCTTTGTACATTCACAACTGAACAAAATAACACTATAAAAGTAATTTTTCCTTGGTTTTTAAGAAGTGACCTTCAGTATATCATCCACAAAGCTATGATTACCATTAATTCTGCAGTGAAAAATCTCCTCTATTTACTCTTCAACTGACAACAATGAATATTTGTCTGTTTTTATCATCCTTTCCAATTCTAGCCCAGTCACCCACTTCATCTTTTCTACTGCCATATAGCAATACTGAGCAAAAATACCACTTCACACCAAGCTACTATAGATGTGGAAAAAATAAAAAAAATATCCTTCACTTCCGACCCTTACAAAATGGAAATGACTCACTTGCATCTCCATCATAACTTTGTTTATGTTGCATGCTTTATTCGCAAATATGACCAAAGACAGCTGAGCACTTCCTATGAGGATTAAATGGAAAACTCTTATATCATTTTTCCCTTGAAAATCTTGCTAGGATCAAGGAAGGATGAGGGTGCCTAAAATGATGAACTAGAAAGAGCAGAGCATTTCAAAAAATAATTTTATTATGTTTTGAAATACACCATAGCTGAGCCAGAAGTAAATAAATTCAGTTCTCATACACACTAAATAAATCATAAATAACCAGAGCTGGTTTCAAAGTGATGGGAGTTTCTGTACAGAAATCACATTGCTGAACCCTATAAATGTTCAATTTCTGCTCTGTCAACAATAGTATTCGTTCCATGACTTCAGTTGTCACTGTTCTCTCCCAAGCATATTTTTCTTATCTACTTGATATAATATGGTATGCCATTATATTTTTACCAATCTTTTACTTAATATGGGAAGGATGATATTGTTACCGAATCCATTCATAGACTTTTCAGAACTATTTTTCTACATCAGTTTTGAATGCTGCAATTTCTATCCAGTTTCTAAGAATATATCCCAAAGATGCCTACTTTTCTTGCCCCATATAAACTGTTATTAAATATCAGAACCACCACTCTCATCCAAAACCTCTGTCAGAACTGCCACCTCACACCTGTGCTCTGCTATCACTCAGTACTAGTCTGCCATGGACCCTGGGGGAAGGTGGAAGGGATGGAGAATGCTTGGGGAAAAGTGAAATTAGTGGAGACAACGTTTCAAAGTCACTCTGCTATGTGAAGAATGCAATGGGAAGTGCCTAAGGGGGAAAGTTACACTTGGGGATTTGGCACGCAAATTTCAGTTCTGGCTTTGCTCTACTGTATTTCACTTGACCTTTAGTAAATTATACCCTTCTCAACAACTGGAGTCAAAGATTGTTCTTACTTAAAGGTTCAAGTTGAGGCAGGTCTGATAGCTCCATTAAAGATACCCTCCAATAATTTTCTCAAGTCAGCAACCAAGCTTTAATTATCAGTATCCACTCCCTGTTTTAAAGTATTTCTTGTCTCTAATGTTTCAGCATTTGATTTAAAAATCCAAAGACTCATATATGTGTAGGTTTCAAAAATAACAAACACGTCATAGTTGCACACTCACCAAAAATTCCTCCAACATCAAATAGGGTAGAAAGATCACCTGCCTTTTTAGCATCAAGATGCTCTACCAATGAAAAATAAAAATATATCAGTTAACAGTTTAAATATTTTCAAGTGCCATAATATTTCCCAAGAAAGTAGGTATAGCATGTCTAAATTACTTTTTTTGGAACTATAATAAAGAGAAAAAATTATTGGATCATTTGGAATCATATTGAACTTTTTGCATCCAGTCTTGTACCTAGTATTAAAGTAGAAGAATCTCATATCATCTCACATAACTGATATTAAGCTATATGAAAGGAAAAACCCCTCTGAGATAGAATTTAGTTTGTGATTTTTAATATATTTCTTCTTCTCTTAATAAAGGATTGTTCTATTTCAACATGAAGTATAAATATTGGATTCTATGTTTTAGTCTTACAAATACTTTAAAAAATTAAGTTTCTTTCTCCTATAATTAGTTTCTCATAACTTTTACAAAATGCAAATGAATTAAAATAAAATACTAGACATCTCATATACCATTCAAACATTGTTTCAGAAATACAGGTAGTCCTTGAGTTACGAATGTAATGGAGTCTGCCTATTCCATTTGTAGCCCAAGGATTCGCAGGAGTAAATCTTGTACAATGAACATGATCACTCCCTCTTTTTGGCCATACTTTCGCTAATCGAATGTGCGGTTCATTAAGTGAACATGAGCTATCTCGGGATGGGGAAGGCTATGGGAGGCCTAGTAATGGAACAGGTCACCTACTTCAGACCACCCAGGGCCTCCCCTACCCACAGATACTTTCCCTCCCTTGGGTCCTCACAGCTGCTTCCTCCCCCAACTTGCCATGCCTGGTGACTTACATTATGAAGATCTGTCTCCTCTTCGGCCTGTTCCTTTGCTTGCTTCCTCCTTTCTCGTCAGTAAAGGGCTTGAAGAAGGCTTTGGTGATAAAAAAAGGAGGAATGGAAGGTCTTGCATGACCCTCCAGACATTCTTTCCTGCCTCCAGAGTCCTCTTCAAGCTGTTCGCTGGCAAAAAAATGTGGACTGGAAGTCCCCACAAACAGCTTGAAAAAGGCTTCAGTTATGAAAAAGGAGGTGCGGAAGACTGTGTGCGGCCTTCCAGGCCTCCTTTCTCACTTCCAGAACCCTTTTCAAGCCATTTGTGTGGACTTTGAGTCCACATTTTTCACCGCTGAATGGCTTCAAGAGGACTCTGGAGGTGGGAAAGAAGGCCTAGAGGCTGCACAAGGCCTTCCGCGCCTCCTTTTTCATCGCTAAAGCATTCTTCAAACCATTCACAAGCACTTCCAGTCCACATTTTTCACCACTGACCGACTTGAAGAGGGCTCCGGGGAGTGAGAAAGAAGGCCTGGAGGGCACTGCACAGCCTTCCATACCTCCTTTTCATCGCCAAAGCATTCTTAAAGTCTGCATTCCGGTCTGCATTTGTCGCTGCCGAAGCGCTTGATGGTGGGGGGTAGGTCGGGTGAATATTGCAGAGCCTCTGCAGTCATTCATAAGAATGAACAACTGCCATGGTGCTGGAACATTCATAATTTTGGAACTTGTTCACAGACGCTAGGGAGCACTTATCATGTAACTTTGAACGTTTGCTAAGGGAACACTTATAACCTGGTGATTACTTGTATTTCCTCATCTAAACAGAGAAACTAAATGACCATTGGTTGGCAAAAAAACCCAGTGGAAATGACTTTGGACTTCTTGCCAGCTGCCATATTGAGTTTCCTTTTGGGAAGCTGGCAGGAAGCTTCAGAAAAGTTCCTTCCTTCCTTCCTTCCTTCCTTCCTTCCTTCCTTCCTTCCTTCCTTCC